GTACCACATTTTCTTTATCCATTCTACTCTTTTTCTCTTTTTTTTAAATCTTAAAAATATGGAGTACAATTCAGGGTTAGGTACATACGTGGTCATTGTACAGGTAAAGTGTGGGTACCCTTATTGATATTATGCACCCCACCCCTCCCCTGGCAGTGTCCCACTACTGCTAATCCCTTCTTATGGTATTATGATAAATGTTCAGGGTCCACTTATGAGTGAGTACATGTGGTAGTCAGAATTTGTTTCTGTGTTAAATCTCTAAGTATTGGCAGGAAACGGTGGCTCAAGCCTGTAATCCCAGCACTTTGGGAGGCCTAGGCAAGAGAATTGCTGAGTACAGGGTTTTGAGACCAGCCAGGGCAACTTACCAAGACCTTGTCTCTACACTAAAACAAAAAAATTAGCTGGGTGTGGTGGCACACGCCTATAGTTCCAGCTACTTGAAAGACTGAGGCAGAAGGGCCACCTGAGCCCAACAGGTTGAGGCTGTGGTGGCCGTAAGCATGCCACTGTACTCCAGCCTGGGCAACAGAGTGATACTTCAAGCACAAAAAAAAAAATCTGAGTATTATAGACTCTAATTCCACCCAGGTTGCTGCGAAGTTCATAATTTTGTTTTTCTTTATGACTGCATAATATTCCATTGCGTAAATGTACCACATTTTCTTTATCCAGTCCTCTTTCAGTGGGCACTGGTTGGTTCCATGTTTTCACTGTTGTGAATAATGCTGCAATAAATACACGTGTATAGGTATCTTTTCTACAGAGTGATTTGAGTTCCTCCGGGTATATTACCAGAAGGGGGATTGATGGGTCATTTGGAAGTTCGGTTTTTAGATCTTTTAGAAATCTCTACACTGATTTTCCATCGAGATTGTACTAGTTTACATTCCCACCAACAGTGTAGACGTGTTCCCTTTTCCCCACATTCTCTCCAGCATCTTTTGTTTTTTGAGTTATTGATGATGGCCATCCTGACCATAGTTAGGTGGTATCTCAGTGTGGTTTTAATTTGCATTTCTTTGATGATTAGTGAGGCTGAGCATTTTTCCATGTATCTGTTGGCTGCTTGTACATCTTCTTTTGAAAAGTTTCTATTCATGTCCTTTACTTTTTAAAATGTCTGCCTTCACTCCTAGACTTCAAGATTTTTGAGAGTAGAGGCTTTATCTCATTTAACCTTCTATTCCCATGACCTGAAATCATTGTTCACAATATTGTTAATGAATTAATACTGAATAAATGTAGCTTTATATGTTAACATCTTTGCCATCCTGAAACTAATAGACTTAAAACATCTTCTAAACATAGTAAACTATTTCTAATGTTTGATAGCAGATAATACTTCTATTCCTAGAAACCCCCCCAAATCACCAAATGACTTGAACTAATGCTTCTTAAGGAAATAGCCTATTATTTCCTCTAGAGCAAGTATAAATCTCATTTCTCTTTGCTCTCTTTAGTGTCACTCATAGAGTTGGGGTCATAAATACTTGTTGACTGGCATATACTTTACTCAGAATTATTTTAAATACCAATGGTAAACACCCATGTCAAGCTAACTTAAGCAAAAAAAGGAATGTACTGACTGTGTCACTGACAAATTCAGGATCTAGTCTCAGGGACTCTAAGTACTCAAAATGTGCCACCAGGACCCTACTGTCTCTTTCTTCACTTGTTCTGCTTTTGGTGTTGATTTTCTTCTGTTCTCATGAAAATATCTTCCTCTTCACAGCATGGAGAAGAAAGCATGGTGGGCTGATGCCATCTCAAATAAACAAAATGTTAGAGCCATCTCCTATCTCTTTTCCACTTCCATTTATAAATATCAGAAGACTATATTTGGTTTGACTAGGGTTGTGTGTCATTTCTAAGCCAGTCAGTGTGGCTTGGGAAATAAGAGACTGTGATTGGCTGACCCTGAGTCATATGCCCACTTCTGGGACCAGAGGATGGGTATTTACTGCAATTGGCAACCCAAAATCATATTGGAGGGTGGAGGGGAATTTCTCAAAGTGGAGGAAATGTTTTATATCAGAAAAAGTGGGGAAAGAATGTGAACAAACCAAAACTAATATCCTCATTATGAATATTCTGAAGTTTCAAAACAGGTAATATCTGGAAAATGTTCCAAAAGCACTTCAACAAAGAAATGGTTGGAATTATGTAAAAATGACTCCTCCTTATTATTTGTGCAGGTCAAACCTTAAAACCTGGAGAATATTTTAAGTGCACTCATGGGTCACTTAACAATAGGGATACATTCTGAGAAATGCATCATTAGCGATTTTGTCATTGTGCAAACATCCTAGAATATACTTATACAAATTTAGGTGGCATAGCCTATTACACATCTAGGCTATGTGGGATAGCCTGTTGCTCCTATGCTACAAACCTGTACAGCATGCTTCTGTACTGAATACTGTAGGCAGTTGTAACACAGTGGTAATTGTATATTTAAACATAGAAAAGGTACAGTAAATATATATTCAGTATAAAAGATTTTAAAATAGTACACCATTTTTGGGGGGAGGACACTACAGGTAGGGCACTTACTATGAAAGAAACTTGCAGGACTGGAAGTTGCTCTTGTTATAAGTAAGTAGAAGAAGTACACTCTAAAATAATAATTGAAAAGTATAGTATTGTAAACACTAGGCAATAGGAACTCTTTAGCTCCATTATAATCTGATTGAACACTGTCATATATGCAGCCTGTCATTGACCAAAATATTATTATGGGTTACATGATTGTATTTTTAAACTATGCCTGCAGACAACTTTCAGTTAATAAAGTACTACAGACACCAGCCTAAGCAACATAGCGAGACTTCGTCTCTACAAAAAATTATCCAGATGTTGTGATCCACACCTGTAGTCCCAGCTACTTGGGCCTGAGGTGGAAGGATCACCTGAGCCCAGGAGGTTGAAGCTATGGTGAGCTGTGATCATGCCACAGCACTCCAGCCTGGGCAACACAGATCCCCAACTCAAAAAAAATCTATACTTAATTATTTAACATTTATATATATAATAGATAGTCTAAAATTCAGAAACCTTTGGAATGCTTTCAGTCAATCAAATTGTTATATGTGTAATCTTATTTTTTCTTACTGAATTTCATAAAGTACAAATTATAGATATATATTCCTCTGAAGTAGATTCAGAACTAATAAAAACAATGAATAATATTGTGCCTTTGCATGTTTCCCTTCCCTAAAAATGTTACATCAAGCCTGGATGAGGATATGTGAAGGTTGTTAAGGAGCAGATTTCTTTATAGGGTAAGAAATTGTACAAAATTATTTCCCACATGATGGACCAGAAGAGTGAGCATATCAATGATTGAACACAACTCATCACCTCCACTGGAAATTTACTACCCATTCATGTTTTACCAACAAAGACCTACCCACTCTTCTAGTGGGAAAAATGGCACTCTGAAATATGACCTTTTAGTCTTTTATGCTACTATCAGGGTTCACCTTACCAACAGTATCTGTTCTGTTTATTGTCTGAAACTAGAGTATATTTCCCCATAAAATCAATTAATTATTGTTTCCGATTCCAGTGTCAACCCAAAAACTCTATTAAAACATATAACTTCCTGAAATACGGTCTTGTATCAGCTACCTCCATCCTCTACTGATAACATTGTTATTCTCAAAATAATGAATTATTAATTCTGTTTACCTTTTAAAGGAGTTGGCTTTCCTCTATATCAGCAGTTCCCAACTTTTTTGACATCATGGACCAGTTTCATGGAAGATAATTTTTCCATGGACCAGGGGGAAGGTGGGGGGAGATGTGCAGTCAAACCTTATTGCTATTAAAGAGCAGTCCAGTGAACATGGGGAGGAAATGAACTTTGGCCCAGAAAAATAATTCCTTTGCACCTTCTTGGAACATTCTTTAGCAGTGCCGGGTACATGATAATCTTGTGAGTAGGGAACACTAGCATCATCTTATGGATGAGCTTCAAAAGATTAAATGACTCACTCAAGATCACAGCCAATAAACTGTGGAATTGGAGGGTGGGGGAGACAGACCTCACTGCTAATGTTAATCTGTATGTGCAGCTACTCCCCAGTGCTAGCATCACTGTCTCAGCTCCACCTCAGGTCATTAGGTATTAGATTCTCATAAGGAGCATGCACCCTAGATCCCTGGCATGTGCATCTCACAGTAGGGTTTGCACTTCTGTGAGAGTCTAATACCACCACTCACCAGACTGGAGGTGGAGCTCAGACAGTGATATGAGTGATGGGGAGGGCTGTAAATACAAATGAAGCTTCACTCACTGGCCCACCACTCACCTACTGCCGGTGGCCCGGCTTCTAACTACCGGTTTTTGGCCCAGGGATTGGAGAGCCCCTGCTCTACATGAGTTAAATCTTCCTAGATCAAAGGACAACATCTGACCCTTTGTGTTCAATATAGACACTTAGGTGATTCATTGCACAAACAGGTAGGTATTTCAATAAAGCAATTACTACTGACAAAAGGGAATTGGTTTGAGACTCTTACAGATCATAATGTGAAGTTAAATGTATACATCAATCACTGTCTGAATTTTAGTTGTACCTGCCACTCTAGTCTTTTAGGAAGTAGGTTTTTTATATTGTCCCACCAAATAGTAACATCATAAATAGAATAGCCGGGCTCGGTGGCTCAGCCTGTAATCCCACGCCTTTGGGAGGCTGAGGTGAGTGAATTGCCTGAGCCCACGGGTTCGAGACCCGCCTGGGCAACGACACCTCATCTCTACAATAAATAAAAAAAATCAACTGGGCGTGGTAGTGCATGCCTGTAATTCCGGCTACTTGGAAGGCTGAGGTGGAAGGATCGCCGGAGCCCAGCAGGTCGAGGCTGCGGTGGCTGGGAGTGGCCACTACACTCCAGTCTGGGTGACGGAGTGAGACTCCAACTCAAAAAAATAAATAAATAAATAAATAAATAGAATAGACTGGAAGATCATTATTTTTTATTTCTATAAATGACTGAAGCCATACTATTTTATAGAATTAATGGAGAGCAGAAAAGACATCACAAACGAAGAACTTTGGAAGATGAAGCCCAGGAGAAATCTAGAAGAAGATGATTATTTGGTAAAATAATAATAATTAATAATTAACATCCATAAACATAATTCAAATGCCATTCTATATCTCTTAGTGTTATAAAAAATGATTTTTACCCTAGTCTGCTGATATCTCAGATTACTGTCACTGATACTATGAAAAAATAGAATTAACAGAGTGTTATATGTGAGAGAAATAGTACCTTGACTGATTTTTCAGAGACTTAGCTGAATGGCCATGAATAGGTCCCTAAAAATCCTGGGTCTTTGTTTATCTATAAAGTGGGAAAGTTGGACCTGATCATCTCCAAGACCCTTCCAATTCTTTCTAACAGTCTATGGTTCTAAGTTTAAAAAGAAAAAGTCCTCAATGCTAATAAGACAGTAGTTTTATAACCTTTTTTCTCATAGACATTATGTCAGTTTACCAAGAGACTATCAAGTAAATTGATGACTCACTGTTAAACCAAATAAATTTACTTTTGGATAAATATCACTTCTCCCTCTTCTGTTCGACCACACAATTAAATGTTTCTTACTATACTAGTTGACAGAAAAACCGGCAGAACATTTTGGTTTCAAACTCGTTTCTAAGTTATCGCAACTAAATTCCAGTTTTAACAGTAATTATTTATTTTATCTTAATCATTTTAACAGGAAAAAATAATTTAAAAATTGCAAGCATATATTCTATAAAAATAACCATGTGTATAAAGTGAAATTATTTTCTGTTTCAAGTTAACAGTCTTATTTGTCTGAAGCATATATTTCTTTTGCCTTAAAAACAAATGAATAACAAATTAATAGAGAACTCTAGTGTGCACCTTTGGTCAGGGCTGCATAGACTATGTTAGCTTCAACTAACTAGTATTCAAAAGCAAGGTTCCGAATGCCCTTATTCACTAAGAAGCATGATGATTGAGCAATAAGTAGTTAGGTTAAGAGTAATCTCATTGTTTTGTTTGGTGTTAAGATTTTTTTTTTCTTTTGTAGAATAAGGACACAGGAGAGACCAGCATGCTGAAAAGACCTGTGCTTTTGCCTTTGCACCAAACAGCCCATGTTGATGAATTCGATTTCCCCTCAGAACTTCAGCACACACAGGAACTCTTTCCAAAATGGCGCTTGCCAATTAAAATAGCTGTTATTATTTCATCTCTGACTTTTCTTTACACTCTTCTGAGGGAAATAATTCACCCTTTCATAACTTATCATCAACAATATTTGTATAAAATTCCAATTTTTGTCATCAACAAGGTCTTGCCAATGGTTTCCATCACACTGTTAGCATTGGTTTATTTGCCAGGTGTGATAGCAGCAGTTGTACAGCTACATAATGGAACCAAGTATAAGAAGTTTCCACATTGGTTGGACAAATGGATGTTAACACGAAAGCAATTTGGGCTTCTCAGTTTCTTTTTTGCTGTACTGCATGCAGTTTATAGTCTATGCTATCCAATGAGGCGATCCTACAGATACAAGTTGCTAAAATGGGCATACCAACAGGTAGGTTGACGATCTTGATATTATTACTAAACTTAAAAGTCTAAGTCCTTTCTCATTGTAATATTAATATATGAAACTCCTGTTGAAACCCTGTGTTGAGAGAATAATCTGAATTTTTAAAAATTTTATTATAACCTTACTGGGGCTTGGTTGTAGTTTTACACTGAGAAATGCTTTTTAAGCTGAAAATAAAGTACAACTTTAATAATATTAAAAAAAACTTTATTCATGAACAGGACCACATTTCAATCTACCACTCTCATAAAATTACATTTTAAATACTGATTGTTCTTATCTTTTGCTTATTTACTATAGGTGCATGCACATTGTAATTCTAAGTAAACCATCAAATAATTATTACATAATTCATTTAAAAGATTACATAAATGTTGCATTCAAGGAAAGAAAGTGATAGCTCTCTTAAAAAGTCAAATCTGTGGAGGCCACTCTTGTTCTCAGGGCCTCCACAGGAGACAGAGGAGTCTACAAAGAGATTCACATTTGGGAAACAACTGTTGTTTGCATTTCTTCCTTCTTTGTTTACCCTCTGATAGGTCCAACAAAATAAAGAAGATGCTTGGATTGAGCATGATGTTTGGAGAATGGAGATTTATTTATCTCTGGGAATTGTGGGACTGGCAATACTAGCTCTGTTGGCTGTGACATCTATTCCATCTGTGAGCGACTCTTTGACATGGAGAGAATTTCACTATATTCAGGTAAATAATATTTAAAATATCTCTAAGATGTAAAATCTTTCTGAGTTTATAATATCAAATATGTTGACTTTACATCATAAAAAAATAACAAATATTTTCCAGTAATAAATTTCCCACATTAATTCCAATTAATAGGGTGCTCTCTTGTTGTTTCTCCCTATTGCTTCTAAAAAAGACAAGTGTTTTCTAAGCTTAAATAAAAGGCATTACTCAAAAATATTTTTTCTAACATTTGAAACTTGTTAGATTACAAATGTGACTTTTCCCCCAAAAAATAAATATTCCTTTATCTATCGCCTGACTTTAGTCATGCCTTGTAAGTTACACAGCTTTGCACTATGCAGGAAAAAAAAATCTTTCCTTGAAATATGGGGTTTTATCTACTAAGGTGTTCTACTATCTAATTTTATTTTATTTTATTTATTTATTTATTTATTGAGTTGGAGTCTCACTCCATCGCCCAGACTGGAGTGCAGTGGCCGCTCCTGGCCACCGCAGCCTCAACCTGCTGGGCTCCAGTCATCCTTCTGCCTCAGCCTTCCAAGTAGCTGGAATTACAGGCGCGCACTACCATGCCCGGCTAATTTTTTGATTTATTGTAGAGATTAGGTCTCACCAAGTTGCCCAGACGGGTCTTAAACCCGCGGGCTCAGGCAAACCTAATTTTAAAGGCTGCCTTTTCCATTTTATGTAGCTTACTCACTTGAAGTTTCTAAATATTCTTGGAATTCAAACACTATCTCAGATTTACTGAAAGTTATCTTCTAGTGATGGATTATACTTAAACAGTGACGTGCCAGAATTCAGAAAGGGATCCTTGTCTGTCAAAATTCAAAGATTCAGCCATAAGTACTGCCAATTTTTTTTAATGGCATAGCTTTAACTTTTATAGGTGAACATCTTTGGAAATTTCCACAGAATCAGACATTCCCCACCATCCTTTCCACACACATACTCCAACAGACACTTTATCGGGGCATCTGATTAGGCTGGAAAGTATGTCTGAATTCTTCCAGTGCAGCTTAGAGATAACACCACACTCTCTAAGCACACTATTTCCTAATTTTGTAGATTCCACCCAATAGCCATTGAAGTTCTCTGGTCCTCATTAACTAACTGTCTTCTTACCTTGCTTTGCCTGTCACGCATATGCTGAGAACCACTTTTATGATTTAATTAGGAATTTAGGCATTGCTTTTTGACAACTGAATTCATTCCACTATATGTACAACACCTATCCCGTAATAAGTATAATACACCTTTGGTAAAGTTAATCTTCAACTAATGATATGTATTTTTCAATTATTAACCTAGAAAACTTTCATTTATGATCTGAGAACTGGTTATACTATGATTTACCTGGGAGATTCATATCTGAAAATATAAACTTAGCTATTTGATTGTATTTATTAGGGTTTAAGAATATGGATGAGTAATTGTAAGTTAGATTTGTTCTGGCAGGCTAATGACTATTTCTAGTAAAATGAATAGAAGCCAAAAGTCTTCTAGAAGAGCTGTTGTCAGAATGCTGTAAGATTACATAGGTGAACAGCTATTTTTAAGCAAATTTATCTGTGGGGGCCAAAGCATCCCAGTGCAAACTGAAATGTCTCTTCACATCTTCAGATCTCTCTATTTTGTTCAATAGGTAAAATAAATGTTAATATTTTTCCTATTTTATGAGAATGTTTAATTTTTTTAAACATAGGCCAAGTTCATTCGCCTCAGTATTCACTTACCAACAGCAGAGTGAATCACATTTGTTGCCTTCACAATTCATAAAGATCACTGAATTCAAATTGGTTTTGGCAATAATCTTCCATCAACCCACCAATATTTAACTAAGCACCTAAATGTGCAAATCATTGTGTTGATTCTACAGGGATCCTGTATTAAGTAAAACTCAGACCCTGTTTTTAGATGTTCTTAATAAGCAGAATTAAGACAAAGGCACAAGAGACAATACACCATAAAATAAATATCATCAGAGAGATGAACAAAGTGGTGGAGAAAGGGAAGATAAATCTGTTGATCACCTGAGACTCAAAGGAACAGTTGTGAATTTTCTCAACTTATAGAGCCTAAAGACAAGAACATTACCCAAAAGTAAGGTGGTGCAGGAGGACATGTAAAAAAAGTGGAAAGATGTGAATGCACATTGTTGAGAGATGTGACAAGAAAAGAATCACAGATGAATTAAAAGATTTCCCATGTGACAGAACAGAACCAGATGAGGTAGAATGGAATAAACTCTTATTGAACCAATTTTCACCAAGGTAATTTTGTTTTTCTTTTGCAGAGCAAGCTAGGAATTGTTTCTCTTCTACTGGGCACAATGCATGCATTGATTTTCGCCTGGAATAAATGGGTAGATATAAAACAATTTGTGTGGTATACCCCTCCAACTTTTATGATAGCTGTTTTCCTTCCAATTGTTGTCCTGACATGTAAAGGTGCACTATTCCTGCCATGCTTAAGGAAGAAGATACTGAAGATTAGACATGGTTGGGAAGATGTCACCAAAATTAGCAAAACTGAGATGTCTTCCCAGTTGTAGAATTAGTGTTTACACAGATTTTTGTTCACTATTGATATATTTTATCACAAACACTTCAAATTTGCATTTGTTATTATAATGACCACTTAAGGATCTTATTGTATTTCTTTTGTTAATGGGTGATGAGTTTGAAATTTGTATTTCTTTGTATTTCCGTGCATATAGGATTCAAAACAAACAAAAATATTGTTTTTGGTCCCAGTCTCACTTTGTTTCCCAGGCTGGAAGGCAGTGGCACAATCAACGGCTCACTGCAGCACCCAGGTCCTGGGTTCGTGATCCTTCCACCTCAGCCACCTAAGTAGCTGGTACTACACACCATGACACTCAACTAATTTTTTTTTTTTTTTTTTGGAGCAACAAGGTCTCACTGTGTTGCCTAGACTGGTCTCAAACTCTTGGGTTCAAGCAATCCTCTCACCTCAGCCTCCCTAAGTGCTGGGATCACATGTATGAGCCACCAGACAAGGGCTAAAAAAAATTTGTAATACTAATCTTTAGCACATTCTCTGTTTTGTAAAGTTAAGCATAACAAAAGAATCACATCTGATTTGTAACACTGTGTAGCATTATATATAATAAACATCCTTGAAATACCAGGCCTTGCTACCCAATTACACAGGTGTCATTAGCTATGAAAAAAATTACACACACACACACACACTTTATTTGACCCTACTACATAAGTATATTCAGTGTTTACAACTGTTGTTAAAGAACTTTCATTTTCTATAACCAAGTTTTATTTCATGAACCACCTGTCTCAAAAAAACAATCAAACTGTATCTACACAGTAAAGCAACAGAGTAATATCAGATACACATCCAGGCAAAATAAAACTCAGGCTGTCCTGGAGGAAAAAAAAAATTCCACTACTCAGTTGAGCTTACTTTAATACATTGGTGAAAGTATACCATAAACCAGTTCTTGAAAGCAAACTCTACATCAGTTGTCAGGAGTTGCTAACCCAACTAACGACGTACTACAGAGGTTTTTCATAATTAGCAAAAGTCATAAGCTTTATCTTTTATACAGATAAGCCATTTCTTTTGATTAAAGACAATAGGGATTTGCTAATGGTACAAATTCGGAAAAACAATTAGTATATTCATTGAGTGAAGTCTAGTGTTCCTATTTTCTGTTCTACTATAAAGGATGATTATTCATCATTTTATGAGTAATAAGGAGCCTCCTCGGGTACAAATTTGAATTCTATGTATTATTGGAATTTAGGCATACAGAGACATTTTTGCAGATAGTGAAGAAAGGACTTGAGAGAGCAGAAACACTTAACTGGAGACAGAGTAGACAACAGTGCCCTTGAAAAGTAGTTCACTATAAAAGAAAAAAAGAACTTGTGCTCTAGAACTGCAAAGCAGATTCGTCAAGGGGACATAACTCAGGACCACTTAACTAAACATGACATGTCATTCCATAATCAACCTATGCTGAGGTGCAGCAATCAGGTACCTATATTCACCTGTAGAGCAAAGTGCCAGCATCTGCAGCACTGAGAAGAGGAAATCAAGTTCTAACCTTCGTGGTACCAAGACATCATAGAGACTGAAGCTTGGAAACAGAGCTCCAGCCTGAAGTGGCACCTCAGTGAATCTTTCAGGGACAACAGCTGAGTACTGGCTTGACTGTTGGGTCCCTGTCTGTTAGCTATGGTAACAAGCAACAACAGGCCTATTCTGAAACACAGACTATACCCTTTGGGGGATTCCTAGTGATAGGAGAAAGGAGGTCAACAAGGGAACAAACACCTAGATTCAATTTTACTCAGACTTTTAAAAATTGAACTATTCACTCTGCAGATTTTCTGAATTTTTATAATGGTTGAGTAGTGTTGTTAACAGCAGAAGAAAACAATAAAAGTTGTCTTCAAAAGAAAAAATATTATGATCTGGTAAAAGCTTGGATTTTCTTTTATTCATTCAACCAACATCTATAGAGTACATCCTATATACACTACCATTCTAGTGCTAGACAGGATACAGCAAGAGAGAAATGACCTAGTCCCTTCTCACAGTCTCATAGGGAAGACAAATTTTAATATACCAATGGATTCTGAGCTTACTCGTATCACTGAGGAAGGAATGACCAGTTCTGTTTAGAAAGATAAAGTCAAGAAAGTGTGAGGTTGATTCAGAAAAATAATGATTTGAGCTAGATATTAAAGTATAAGTAAGAGTTTATCAGATCGAGTGGGAGGGTAGGGTGTGATGTAATGTGTTGGAAGGTCTAGTTCAGAGTGGCTGGAACAGTGTATATAAAGGAAATACCAGATTTGATACGGACAAAGGCGAGATAGATCAAGGTCATTGTATGACATGAAACCAACTTTGGATTTGCCCCATAAAGAAGTGAGAGAAGCCACTGAAAAATTTTACAAGATCTAAACATCATCAGATTTGCATTTTAGAAAGATCTATCTGGGTAGACTATCCTGATGGATTTGGTGGTAAGGGGCAAAGGATGAAGGCAAGTTGGAAAACCAAAAATATCTAAGGAGATGACTGCAGTATCCCAAGACAAAGACGTTAAGTTCCCAAATGAAGGCCATTACAGAGGGAATGGATATATGATGACAGCTAATGAAATATGATAGGAAAATAAAAGTTCAGGAACTCATTAACATTAGAATATGAGGAGTGAGGGAGAGGAAGGCATGACTTCTACGATTCATTCCGTCTAGATGAGGCCATTAAACAGGATAGAGAATTCTACAGAAGGAAAAGATATTTTAAGCAAAACAAGAAGTGTGTGTTCTGCACACTGTGTACTGTTTCAAGAATCTTAATTACTAAGGAATGCAGTGTGTTTTATTAGTTCCAGCATACACAAAACTATGATAGGCATATGGTTTGAGCAGTGGGAAGGAAAAGGAAGGTATTCCCCTGCTCCTATTGAAAAGGTGTTTTTTTAAGTAAAACTGATAGGGTTAACACAGTCACGGACAACAGTCACACAGGATCTTTCTGGAATAAAAGAAACAGCACCTGGGAAATCGCTGACTGTGAGTCCAGTGCCACCTTTTCCAAGCAGAGCTCTTACATGATCAAAATCAGTCTACCTGGAATTTATTTTCTTTAAGCATTTATGCAATAAGAATCTTATAATCTTTGGTTAAAATGAGGTCTTTAGTATTTTAATAATGAATTACGATTATTAATGTTTATGACAGTACAAAAGAAATTTATGGCACTGATGAGATTTTCAGATCATAGACCACATATTGAAGAATCCTATAAGAAATTGTGATCTGTGAAGTGCCGAATCTATAAAATTAAACATCAAAATAACAAAAATAATTATTTTCATTGGTAATACTTAACACTTACTCTAGAATTTTCTTCCAAGAAAGTGAATGAGATGTAGAGTTCCTTTTTTATAAAACTTGTCTTCAAAGTAAAAGCATTAGAAATGTTTCCATTTGGATTTATTGTTAATTTTACTCAATTAATTAGAATTCCTCTTTCCTCACGCCATTTTTTTGGGGGGGCGTTTTCAAGAGGCCCTTTAAAGGGGTAATTAATTATTTGATATCTGTTGAAAATAATCCTGTGCTTTAATAAATTAATAAATCACTGAATTATGACCACTACACGTGACCTGAAGCTAAAGTCCAGTGCCTTCTTCTCAACTAATTCTGCCACTTCAGCTGGTGAAGTAGTAAGTATAAGTATTTATTGTTAGTAAGTATGTTACACTCTCGGAATTATTAATGGGTGGCTATTTTAACTGTGCCAAGAACAAGTTGCCAGTTCCTGCAGCTATAAAATTATTGAACTGGAAGAGACAGATGAAGTCACCTAAGCTCTCTAATCCCTTGTACAGAGGCATGACCCCATGGAAATGAGGCCTTCCTCAGCAGAATATTTGTATTTCTGAACAACGTTGAAGAGAAGAACGGAACATAGGGGCAGCCAAAATTGTAATGATAAGAAATATATTGATCTTAGAATCAGTAACCCTTCCTGAACCTCAGCTGGACCAAAGAACAACTGATTGGACAAAATCTCAGTCTGAGAACTAGGATGCTACGCTTGGGAGTGCTGATGAGCATGCCATAATAATTGACACATGCCTTGCTTAGCACATGACTCTGCAAAATCATTTGAAATCTACCCTCATCTTGTAACTTGAAGTTGTATTACCACAAAAGAAATATTCATGGGTTTAAACACAGTGGAGTTAAAAGAGTGTAAGAGCTGGGAAAATGGGTTTTGTTTTGTTTTTTAATAGAATCTTTTTCAGCAAAATCTCTAACAAAAGCCCAGCATGTAACAGAGGTCAGAGTTAAAGGGAGCTACTGAGACCAAATGCTTTCCCTTTTTTGGAACTTCCATCCTGCTCACAAGCCTTTGTGACAACTTGGGATCCACAGTACACAGTTTGGAAACTCTTCCTCATTTATACAAATAAGGAAACCAAGGCCCAGACTGGTTTGTTACCCACAACTTTCTCAATTACTATTTGGCAAATGTATATAATCAAGTCTTATTAAAATAAACACAGTAATTTTAACTAGCTATTTCTTTTTGTCAGGGATTGCTTATTTGAAAGGCACAGAATTCTACTCAAACTTGCTCAAGAAGGAGATACTGATAACATAAAGACACTGATATAACCCACAGGAAAGGGGATTGGCTTAGCTTTGTAAACTCTGGAGCTGGGATCGCACAAGACAGAAACTAAGTGCATCTGCATGTTTTGTCTCTGCAGATGGATGTAGCGATGCTGTGAAGTTCAAAGTGGGTACTTTCCTCTTTTCCTAAATTTGGCAACTAGATCAACAGCTGAAAACTAAAAGTGCTAAACAGTATTCATTTTACTTTCAGAGAACAACCTACTGCAGGGTCAAAGAGGGCTCCTGGAGAAGTGCTTTCAGCAGAACTAGCACTACAAGCACTCACCAATACATATAAATGAGGAAGGGGTAAAGGTCTTCTTTGGACTAGGAAGCGTAGTGCTGATGAAGACACACTGCCCACATTTTATTTCACCCATGAGGGAAGGGAGCACAGATTAATTCTTTGTCTAATCTACACCCTCACTAAAGAAAATGAACTTGACTGAAAAATAACATA